ATTTCGTAATTTTATTAACTTCCCTTTTCTGTCGACTGACCACACGATTTTCGTATTTTAAAATTGAATAATACAATTATAAGAGTCTACTTTCATTATTGGAAACATAGGATAATAAAATGCGACAAACATATAGTGAATTATTGTTTTTAAATTGTTGGCAGCCCTTAATAAGTTACAAATGTTACTATGTCATATTACCACCAACTGTATACTCGGTTTTCGAATCCAATCGGATTTTATTTTGTCGTATAAAATGGTTTCGGTTTACAAACAATTTTAAATTCGGAACTTTAGGAATGAATTTATGTTCGACAACCGAAGTTTTATTGTACATATTTCTAGATAATAGTTAGAAAGTTTGATTAGAAACGTATGCGATAAAATATTCATTTGTTTGAAGAAATTTTACAAAGGCAATAAAAAAAGCCGATCAAAGTGGTGGTGACAATAATATTTCTGTTAAGTTATTTTACTTTACAGTAATTCGTTTGCGATAAATATTTCAATTTTTGAACAATTTGGATTTGGAACAACCATTAGAAATCTATGTTTCTTTATAGAATTCTTGATTATTATCTGTAAGATTTATTGGAAAATATTGTGATAAAGTAATCATATATTTTAAGAGAATTCACAAAGGCGACAAAGAATAAAAATACATCAAAGTGGGGTGGAGTGAAACAGCTGTTAATAATTCTCTATTCGGATTGGCGATAAATTTTCCATATGACAGTGGTAACCATAAAATCGTCGAACATTATAAATTGTCTCGAAAGAACTAATAGCACTCCAGAACGCGCCGACTAACAAATGGTTCTGTCACTCTCCTCGAAGTGACGGAACAATCGATGGCGTTAAGCCATATACCATTCCCAATCCCCTTACAAATTCGTATGCATGCATAATTGGATCAGAATTCTCATCATGTCGAGATAATTTCGAAAAGGATGAGTTAATAGAAAATGTATTCCCCTTTTACCTCCTCTTCTCTTGATGAAAGATAAAAGCCAGAAGTGGTTGGCTTTGTAACAAAAACGTAATTTTTGCGGGAACGCTTGATGAACTTCCACGGTTGAAAATTGCTCTCAAGCTCTGTTTGCGATTTTAATTATTATTTTGAATTAATTTTGCCCTTATCAATGTGGCAATAACTCAGAGTTATCTAAATGATAATTTTTAACGCAGTTTCGGCGTGGCTTTAATAAATATGAAAATGATCTTATCACGGCTGGCGTGATGAGGGATGAAATTAATTGAGCTTGAAACCGCGGATGGAGCAGAGCTTCTCCGGGAGTAAACAGATTTCTGGATGGGATTTTTATAAAAGATCCACTGCTTTTACTTTGAAATAATATACATTTTATAATTTTATGTCTCAGAAAATTTGTAAGTTTATTTTTCAATTTTATAAAGTTGTTTCAATAATTATCATAATTTAACAATCAACGAATTCTACTTATGTAATTCTTCATTACAACTATGTTTATATATTTATATTTACATTTACATTATATATGTACATTAATATTCAAATCAGAACTTCCAAAATCATGAAGTCTTGTCCATTACTATAAATTAATAATAATTTTATTATGCTTGACCTTACTTTTTGGTATTTTCTAAGAAAATTTAATTGTTTCTATAATAATTATTATAATTAAAAAAATTAGTTATAACGTCATTCATAGATGGCGTTCTTGATTTGACATATTTATAAATATCTGAATGCTTAGTTCCCAAATCCTGTAAACTAATTTGTTTTTATATCCTCATCGGAATTGATTATATAAAAACACATATATAAAATATCATGAATATTACATAATTTTACTTGATGAATACAATGAATGACTTATAAAAGCTTAAAAATACTTGGTTTCAGTTATGAGGGATGGAATTAATTGAGCTTGAAGGGATGGCTGGAGTAGAATAAACAGATTTCTGGATGGGATGTTTTAAAAGATTCGCGCCTCTGTTTATGTTTAAGCCAATTTCATGGTTTTCCTCGCTTTTCCTTTCGTATCCTGCTCAGAGTTTCGCTTCCCCCAGGAAATGGAGTGTGGAAAGTAATAAAATTCTTCGTGACAATAAAGTGTCGCGGTTTGTGTGTTTGAGTTATACGGATCAAGAGGAATTCAATGTATATAATAAATATAATTCTGTGCGAGCGACAGTAGAACATATACAGTTTATATTGGTATTGACGATTTTTCGTTTCTAATATTTTCGTCGGTCCTATTTTTTATTTTCTTTATTTTCAGACGCTTTCTGCACTCCTCTTATCCTCTTTGTAAATGCTCGTGTGAAGAATGGCCTGGACTGCATCCACACTTTGTGTGGGTGTGTGTCCGTAGCCTTTATTACGTTTTACTATCGAAGGGGGAAGGGAAAGGAAATCCGATGCGCAAAAAGCAATAAACCGTTCAATGGTGGAATGTTAGATTTATTGGAATATGATTTATAGTTCTGGAACAATAGCCACATAGTCTCGGTATAAGAGGCTGAATTCCTCTCACCTCGCCCTATTTATGGACCCATCATGCACACACACAGACCTACAGCTCCACATCCAGAGAGAGGTACTCCAGAAACACACACTCGACACCCCTAATCAACATTATCTTCAAGATAAAAGCCCAGGCCCAGCTTTTGCACCGCAAACCACTTACCTTTCCGCATGAATAGAATCCGCAAGCTCATCGCCTTAAAATTACAAAATTGACACTTTTCACATTGAAAAGATATACATCATATAATTTTTATTTCTTATAAAATTCAGCTACTTAAATTCTATATTTAAAAGCAATATAATAATAACAACAATATTGTAACAGTCATAAACAAAATTGACACTTTGTAGACAGAAATATTTCAAGGTCGCATTTTCAACCATCATAGTAGCCACAAATACAATTTTTAAGCATATACTATGTACAATTTTTTATCAATATCATCAAACTTAAAGCATTTTGACGTCAGGCCAACATACATGCTGTTTTCGGGCTTTTTCTGCTTTGTTTCTATGTTTATTGGAGTTGAAAATTGGTTTCAAATTCAATACCAACTCTTGTGGTTTTTAAGTTATATCAGCAATTTCAAGAGATATAATCCAACAGACAGTTTGAATTAAGATCTGAAAGATTATCACAGACCTGATTTCTGAGTTTGTTGAGATATTCTATAACAGAAGTTTGTATACTTATCTGCGAGAACCTACATATAATCATAAGTATTTCTTATAATCGTAAGAATTTACAATATTCTAATTGATAAACCCTAAGAAATTCATTAATACCCCACTAGAGGTAAATTGCCCCAGTTCGCAGATTACAGTCTTTTTGATAACATAATTTATTTATTTTTTCATTTAAATAGATTATTTTTAGTATATACACTGAAACAAAATTTTGTTTAATTTTTGAATATTTCAATGTAATAAAACACTCATCGATACTTCAAACAAATACAATTATTCAAATGAAACAAAATAATTGCATTGAATAGTTAGTAACATTTTTTCATTTAACAATAACAGCAGAATCGAAATAATAACGGAATTGCCTGTGGTATGCACTAATCATTTCTGTTACACATATAATTAGTGTAATGTGGTGCAATCAAATCATTGAATATTTAGATATGAAAATGGCTGAAATTATTGCGCGAATTGTTTAATCAATTACACACCACTTTGAATACCACCCACTGCTGTTGCCAACAATGTTAAACCCATCCAATAGGTGTTTCCTTTTTTTTGTATTCCTGTATGCCGAAAGCCATTGGATTAACCATCCATTCATACATTATTTCAAAACGGAATTCAAATTGGATCGGATTATCATGGAGCGTGTTTTGCAAAATTTATTTTGTTTTATTTTATTTTCTATATATTTTTGTGGTGAATCAATCGCATTATTATATCGCTATTATCCGGGGATTTGCATTATTACAACACTTTTCGAATCTATTGTATACAAGGCTTAACACTGTTAATATTATGAATAACTAAAAATGTTTTCGGTTTTAATCTGCTTTCTGGTTAATAATAACAATAATAACGAATGGCCAATTACTGCTTATTTCGATTCAGTTTTATTTGTAAAGACAATTAAGCTTTTGGCATTTTGGCCTAAATCGATGCTATTAAAAATATCCCACTTTGTTTTGTGCAAATTTTATTACTTAATCCTCTTACTACATTTTGTACTTCCATTAACACATATATATTATTGTTGTCTTTTTTTTTCTACGTAAAATATTATATTTGAAATTCGTTATTCCTATTTTTGTTTTTTAATTTTTATAAAATATAATTCATATATAAAACATGGATAAATAAATAATCTGAAATTGTTATTATTACAATATTATTTTATATTAATTAAAAATTGATCCAAAGTCAAATCAAATGGTTTAATCTTAAGTTTTATCTTATTTTACTAGAGCATAAGAATAATTATTTCCTAAATATTACATACAAACTAATATAAGCTTTCCGCTGAAAATGACGTTTATGTTTTGTTAGGATACTTAAGGCCCGCGGGCCAAATCTGGCCCTCTACTTCATTGCATCATACACCTCTTGACAATATCGAATGAATCAGACGTTAATTCATCAATAGAGGCATGGTTTTATTTATGTTATGTTTTGACAAAATAATGCTGAAGTTTCATACCGAGATTATAAAGCATTAGATTGGTCAAGTATAACACAACCTACAAAAAAATTGCTCAGCTTCTTGTTTTCACAGGAATTCGCGAATTCCCGAATTCTCGAAATCCCTTGAAATCAAACAGATGAATAATATGTTTGTAGCTTGTGTTATACTTGAATAATTAATTGCTTTATAATCTCCGTATGAAACTTTAGAATTATTGGATCCAAATATAACATAAATGATACCACCCCTATATTGTTGTGTTACCATCTGATTCAATGGTTTTTTTTTCGTCGAGAAGTTTCTTTATATCAATCCCTTTCTGCGAATTTTCTTTAATTGTTATTTCTTTCATTTTAGCTGTTCTTTCGGGTTCCTGATGTTTATAAAACTGATTGCAAAGAGTCGGGGAGTGAATTGTGGTTATCTGAATAATTAAATAATTATTAAAATTTAATTTTAAAGTAGGAAGAAATCAAATGTTTTACCAGTCCTTACATTGACATCATTTCGTGGTTGATTTTTTTACTTATTTTCCTATTAGAAATTATAGATTATTAGAAAATGCTGTAAAAAGAAAAGTTGGAATTAGATATCAGAAAATCCTACAAAAGTTAGTGTTTTATAATAAGAAAAATAATTTGATCATGTAAGAAAACTAGAAAATTTGCAGAAATTGCATATTATGTTCGTACGACATTTTTGAGTTAACCTTCATACTGTATCTACTAAATTTTTTATCTTTCTGTTCAAGTTTTTTTTTTTAATATTTAAATTGAAATAAAGTATTGTTTTTTCACATAAAACGAATACTGATCAATGTAGAACAAACAAAAATAATTGCAGGTTTATACTTTGAATGCAATAAAAATAATAGATAATAATTTTAATAATCATACTTACTTAGATATATTTCAAATTGAACACAGGAAGGACGGACAAATACCAGAAACTGATCTGGCTGGAGCAAGCTACATGCTGCTAGTGTGGACTATTTCATTACTTTTCGACGGAAAAGTAAAAACGATGAAATGGCAAAAAAAAATGAACTGATTTTTGCAAAGACATAGTTTTTTTTAATTTGAAACGAAAGATATTGATCTATGCAAAACTCGTATATTGATACTTTATGAATTATTAAACTTTTTATACATCGAATCATTATTATATTTCCAAAGTTGATCAATAGTTGAATCATATTTTTATTTGAATATTGGTAGTTTCTCTTCATTTTTGTATAAAATATTTTAATACTATTCGATAACAATAATTGACGTTGTTAAAATAATTTACCAAATCCCATTTGCTTTTCTAGAAGCAATAGTCAACAATGCAAAAGAAGAATAAAAAAAATATATTCTCATTATTTTCAGTCTTTTAAATATCATGTATCATCATGAATATCATCATGTATCATCATGAATAAATGTATAATAATAAAAAAAATGATTTTACAAAATTTCTTATAATTTAAAAAAATACACAAGTGTTACAAAATTAATTTTCTTACTTTTATAATTTTACAAATAATAATATATCATAATGACTTTTATAAAATTGAGAAACATTTTTCTCATTTATTAAGGAAGGACATGAAAAATATAAATTGTTGTCACTAAATACTAAATTTGCATTTAGTGACGATTTAAACACTTAACTAGTCTACTTCTGTAAATATTCATATTTCTAAACAATGTATATCATAATGGTGCATGAAATATCTTCATTGCAAGTATATGTTTGTAGTCATTATTTAAGTTAGTAACTTTATTTGATATGAATTTATGTTAAATTACGTTGTTTGGTAATTTCAAAGAGACTTTTAGTTTTCATTATATAAATTTTACATGTAAATTTATAAAAATATATTATTCTGGAAGTATATAAACTTTAGAAATATACATAAAATATTGATTTGCTATATATTAATTCAAATATATATACATAGAGAAATACTTATTTGCTTACGAAAACAACCAACAAAAAACTTGCTAGACCTCTTGTTTTCAAGAAAATATTTAGCGACCCATTCTCTAACTGGACTCGCAAGCCCAGCATACCAAAATACAAGAGAAGTCAAGAAATAGTTAAATCCTGCAATAGTAGAAGATATCATTGAGTTTGTAGAATCGAATTGTAGTTGTACAAGAGCTCAAATTAGAACTACCATTACATCTAAATGCGCAGATGAAAACAAAATGTATACAAACGGTTGGAGAAAGTAAGAGAATCTAAAAGGGGCAGTACCGATGATGATGATATTGAGGATTTAGTCAAACCATCACCTAATAAAAGGCAACGTAAAACAAAAAATACCAAAAGCGATGAGCATAATAATAAGGAAATAATCAAAGCATCCACTAGTCGAGCGAATTCCACTAAAAACGATGACGATGATAAAAAGTTTTTAGTAAACGCATTCACTAGTAAAATACTTTCAAAATCAAAAAGAACCAGTACCGATGATAATGATGCTGTTGATCATGATATTGAGGATTTAGTTAAACCTAATAAAAGGCAACGTAAAACAGAAAATGCCGAAAGTGATGAGAATAATAATAAGGAAATAGCATCCACTACTCGAGCGAATTCCACTAAAACCAATGAGGATGCTAAGAAGGTTTTAGTGAAAATCAACTAGTGGAAGATCAGCAAAAGGAAGAGAAAACCAAAGCAAATAAGTATTTCTCTATGCATATATATTTGAACTACTTCATTTGATCCGGCTCTATCTATCTCAGCAAAGTTAGTAATATATATATGAAATTGTTGAATTCCGTACTGTCTAACTCTGCAAAGTTGTATATACATGATACAAGAAGTATAAACTTAATTTGACGTATTTAACAATTTGGACAAATGATAGTTTAGAGAGATTTGTTGTGAAAATGATTAAAGTAAATATATCTAAATATGTTGTTATTATGTAAAGGTTATAATGTATGAGGATGATAATAGATTTCTAAGTAATAATTCAAGTGAGACCAAATGGAGCGTTAGTGGAATGCGCATTCCAGTCTATAGATAGTAACGTAATTAATTAATGAGGCAGCAATTATTTTAATTGGGTGAGCGCGTTGAGTGGAATCGATATGTGTGGACCGGGTCTCCAAATTTCGCGACATTAACATGACAAACTATCGACCTATTGTATTTTCGGTCCAGGCTAACGTGTTAAGTTTTCAAGACCCTTGAGGAAACTGCAATCATCTAATTGTTAGACACAACCAAAAATAGATTGAATTGAAAATTTTATGAAGACACTTTTTCATACAAAACGTTAACATTTGAAATGTAATTATACTACGTATGTTCTACTTAATGCAAAGCTAATTTTCCTATATAGTATAATTTTTCCTTGTATAGTTAGCATTAAGTATCTACATTATTTTCAGATCTTCTTCTTATACATAAGGTATATATATATATCCTTGATGACCAACCCATTTGTTCTCTAATAGTTTTTGAGGTATTTACGTAATTATGTTATCAATGATACCACCAAAAAAGTTTGTCCAGAAATTGCTGAACTATAAATAGCCAATATAATACTTTTATGTGTTGATTCAGTAAATTACATAATCTCATGTCATGACTTTGAAACTTCAATACATATGCAGTTACATCATTTAGATTATGCTCTCAGTTAAATAGAATTTCAAAGAAATTTCAGTTTGTAAATGATAATTGAGGTAATCTGATTAGTATATCCAATCATTTAGATTCTTATCCTGTCTCTAGAAATGTCTGAAGCGATGATCATACATATTTTTTTATAAGAATAAATTTTCTGTATAATTAAAGACGATTTTTTTTGGATTGGACAAATTCTCCTAGTCCCATCATTTAGATTTTTTTCTGTACAAATTTCTAAAATGATGACTACATATTTATAACAACGAATGTTCTTCGGTTCAATTAAATAAATTATGAAACATAAAGCAAATCAATTAAATTTTCTTGAAATATGAAAGCAGAATCATTCATATTTTTTAAGAACATTTCAGATCCTTCACATTATATTATTTATTTTAATTTTAACGTTCACTCAATGTTTTCATTTCATTCATTTTTTTCTCTCTCTAATCTACACATAACTAATATTTCGCAAATGAAAATATAGTGCTCAATCGCTATTTTAGTTTACTAATATATTATTTTATTGTGTTAATTACCCGAGAATTCCCGGGAAATTAACACCTATTTTCGGGAAGAAAATAACTTCACAATTAATCGTCGACTCTTCTCTCTGTTTACATGACTGAAAAAAATATCTTTTCAGTTAAATAAATAAAGATAATTATAAAATCTCGATCATTGAGATAATTTTTTTTATTAACATTTCTCATAAAGGTATGAAAAGAAGAAATGTTCTAGGATTTTTCAGTAATAATTTTTTTGTTTTGTAGAATAAATGATGCTCTTAGTGTTTGTGTAGAAATGACTGAAACAATAAATACATATTTAAAACTACGAATTTTCATCTAAATTAGTGAGAGTTTTTTTTGTCAAAGAAAGGATGATTAAGAAAGTCTGTTCTATAATCTAGATTAAGCTCTGCACGTTTGAGTGCATTTCCCGTTCCAGCATTTAGTTTAGCGGTGTAAAAGTGGTACAATTTGAAAATCTCCATTTTTATGAGCATAATTACACGAAAGGGACAAAACGTAAAGCGGAAAAGGATCTGAAATAGTTTAGAAATGTTGCCGCAACGGAGGTAGTTGGGCCGTTCGTCGGCTCATAATTAAATATGATAATCCGGTGTCCATGGTATTAAACGGAATTTGATTATGCCGTCCCGAAGAGTGAGAATGTGTGTAATTCATGCAAATTATTTAACCGAATTGCAATTTACATTTTCATGTAAAATATCAAGCATCTGAATCCCCGCCGTCTCAACCTCCCACAGGATGCGTTTAAAGATAATGTGTGTGTATGAGTGAGAGGAAAGATGAGGAATGTGTACGTAAGAGAGAGAGAGAGAGAAAGAGGAGATGAGGAGCGCACCTCGCGCATTGAATATTTATGAACACATCAATTTCGTATCGGCTCCTTTTCATAATGCACAAACCTTCGCCCCGGTCGTCCCCCCAATTTTTATACACTCCTCTTCTTTTTTTTATTCCGATCGTCCTTGTTGAGGAAGAAAGGGGACTGCGTGGGTGAAAAAGAAGAATAATAAAAAAAGGAAGAGAAAGAGCGGGCTCGGGAAATTCTGTATGAATTATTTTCCGCGACACGTCAACGCTACGGGTTTTATTTAATTAGAAAAATATGTAGATTGCGATTGATTTCCCCGTCGGAATTTCGCAGCGACGGGAAATTATGTAAATTCCCCGTGTTTTTAGAGAATTTTAAGTAAATCTCGGTCCGCCCTTTCGGAAAACCCCGCTTCTACGACCGATATCTTTCTTACCCATTAAAAACTTTCCGTCACTGCGAGGACAAATTAACAACCGATTCAATGAACACGATTTTTTTTTGTCATAATAAAGAAAGAGAAACTTTTAATATAAATTTATGAAACGTGCTTATATTTCTTACAGCAACATTTTTAAAAGCAGTTTTTTGTAAAGTACATGTCTAGAAACTAAACATCATACTTTCTCGTAAAATTCTGAATATTGTTTTGCTTCGTTTAACTTAAATTTTTCATAAAAGATAATTTCATCCTAACATGACAATCATGCATGAGGTTCATACGGTTCTAGAGATTTCCTGGAAATGTTTATGATATAAATTTCCCGAAAAAATACTTAATAATGCTAAATCGGAAATTAAAATGTTTTGGTATCAAAATTTTAATGAAAAAAATCAAATCAATGATTAATCTGCTGTCAATATTAAAGGACATATCATGTTCTACAGATAATATTAAATATTGTAATTTAATTCATTTTTTTATAATTTTATTATTTAATTACTTTTTTTTACAATT